TTTGACAACTTGCCTTCTCCTGGGAAGCTTTTGTTAAATCCATATATTAATGAGAATCCCTAGTAAGAAAAAAATATATAAGGTTGATATATAACAGCAGCAAATTATTGATTGATGTTTGTGATGTTACTCTGAGTGTGCATCCACACCGGGCAAGCTGAAAAGTTAGTTTGGCCACGGTGGGAATCGAACCTGCGGCCTTCGGGATACTAGCCATTCAATGCTCTGCCAACTGAGTTACATGGTCAAGTCTGTTCGAGTTGATGATATTTCGGAACTGAGTCTAGTTCCTTCGATATCAGTGTACAGGGGTATTCAATGATACGATTATTTTGTGTGTGTTGGTGTCATGTACTCAGGTGAATATATTATGTTTGTGATGTTACTCTCACCAGTAGCGTAGCCAGCCCGACTATTTGGTCCCGCTATGCAAATATTTTCATGTTCATTGACTGTGAAAACAATAAATTTCTAGAGAAATGAATAATGATGATAATTTTGAATTTGCATAGCGGGACTAAATTGTCGGGCTGGCTATGCCACTGACTCTCACTGAGTGTGCATCCACACTGGGCAAGCTGAAAAGTTAGCTCGGCCACGGTCACAGGTTCGATTCCCACTGTGGCCAAGCTAACTTGCCCGGTGTGGATGCACACTCACAGTAACATCACAAACATCATATATTCACCTGAGTACATAACACCAAGTAACACACACAAAATAAAAATTATTGATTGATTGACAATGAATTTGCCATTTTTGGTTGTTTGCATACATACAAAGCAAGAAATACAAAATTCAAATGCTTTTACTCATTTAATGTAAGCATGCAATTGAACTAACATCATCCAAATGAATACAACTTTTCTGGTAAAGGGTGTTTAAAATAGAGGTGCATAATTGACCCAAAATTCATTGTCCCAAAATCTTGCTAATGCCAAGCTAGGATTTTCCATATAAATTATATACATTCACCCACGATTTGGCACGGTATTACCCCTGGGCCCAGCTGGGTAAAAAGATCTCTGTGATTGTTTTTGTCAGTTTATACATTTCGAGACTGTCTGCAAAAGTATGAGTGATTGATCACTTGTTGGTTCACTTTATTGGGAAATGTGCTTGTACTATATAACTCAGTCTGGGTGATTTGTTTTGGCAAGCCTGCCCATCTAAAGAGGCTCATGTAACCAGACATTCATCCAGGGAAAGCGACCTATAGCCAGGTTACCTGGTTGGCTCGCCTCTATATAAGCAGCCCCATACACATGTTTTAGACTAACTGATAGCCGATAGGAGGGCCATAGCAAGCACATGCCATACACTGGGTAATATTAGATGGGCTATTGCAATGCTGTCAAATGTGACTGCATTTCAAACAGATCACATATATATTAATTAAAGTATACATATTTAACACGAAATAAAACATACATGTATATCACACAAATAAAGTCCCGTTTACACGAGCAAATTTTATTTGACAAATTTCATATGTCAGAGATATTTTGCTCGTGTAGATGATAAATTTGTGACAAATTTATTTGAACAACAAATGCTTTTGATGAAATGAAATTTGTCAAATAAAATTTGCTCGTGTAAACGGGGCTAACAACACAAATAAGTAGAGACTGTAGATTAGACTTATGGACTTCTGCTAATACAAATTAATCGAAAATTAAAACTGAACGTCTAGATCGGCAAATCGGCGGCGAAGCGACTAAAATACAGGCTTTCGTCTTCGATTTAAAAATATAACTATACAGTATATCAAGTAACTTTCCGCACACAAATAAATAAATACACAATAAACATACCTTTGAAAACAAATTCCATGTATCTTATTAGGTCTTTGCAACTTTATAAGTAGAAAATTTGAATAAATATCATTCCCCTTTGAATGTTTGCTCTCGAAGGATTGAACTTGGCGCTTGGTCTTTGTGTGAACCAGATCGAATTACTACAACACGTGATATATTCTAAACATGCTAATTGGTTGAAAATCTGGAACTTCCACTTGTCGCAAATTATATTCAGCAGAATTCAGCAGCAGAACCAACCTCGTCCCCAGGGTCTTCCTCGTGGTGGCGCGTGAGCTGAGGAAGACCCTGGTAAAATACGATGAAATCTCCAAGATTCTTGGAGATTTATCGCATGCGCAGTAACGACAACGTTATGTTGCTGACTACAATTAGCGCTGGCGCTTACGATTTTCTTGCTTAAAAATATACATGTTTTGTTGATAGTTTATGGATTTATTCTCAAAGTTTTAACAACTTTTACGAAAATACTTCAGATATAAGCTGTGAACACACATGTACACAAAACTGTGCAACATTCATCATCATATTGTATCAATTTGTCGGAGTATGGCGCTCAAATTTGTGACATTGTTTTGTTCGCTTTGGCAACCCTCGTATATATCAGATGCTGTTCGGCCTCAAATGCGACTGAATAAACACTGATAGTGTTGCCTGGAATATGAAATGATATTGAATGATAGTTCCGTATATCAAGGTACGTACTGTACATTTATACTGGATTTATTTTCACACGAGTTTCAAACTATTTCAGCTTTTAATATGAACAATGAGATCACATCACTAACATACAGAAAGACTCCATATTTTCTCATCAAATGTGATTATCGTCACAAGTAACAGTAGAAATGCTTCAAAATTTATTCTGTATGTAAAGCAGGCCAGCATGTTTCATTTTCCTTTGGTGGTAGTGACCACTCACCAAGTCAGATAGGCCATTCCATTTAATAGCCCCCCCCCTATTGTCTATTGAGGTCTGGATATCCTATATGAGGATTTTTCTAGAGGGGGTTTTTACCTTAAATTTTTCTGGAGTTAAGAGATTTCCTAAAAATTAGGTGTTTTAGTGATATCCAAAGGGGCAGGAACAATATCCTAAAAGGGTAGAAAGACATCCATAGGGGTTCCAAAATTGCATCCAATGGGGTTCCAAAATTATTAAAGGTATTATGAAGAGACCCCTCAGTAGGGTGTGGCAGGGGGGCTATATTAGATGGAATGGCCCAGTGTGCTGCAACAACTTTTAAAATTTGTATATATGTTTTTAAGGCACAATATGTGATGGAGTTTGATATGATGATCAGCACAACCTGAAGGTCTTGACTGAATGAACAACTTAACTGATATACTCCTAGCTCCTATACTTTGTTGTATATTATTACCAGCTCAGATGTCAGTTGGATCACTTTGAATGAACATTGGAGTGGCACAATAAAGTGTCTGTATTAGGGAGGAGTCTAACTGAAGTAAAAGGCACACTTTTGGATATTAATCTGAATCATAGCAACTACATATACTGTAGGTTTCAAATTAGTTTGAACAATGAACAACTGAAAATAGAAATTTATTTAATTGGAAACACTTAAAGGAATTACAACATATTATATGATAGTCATATGTACATGATTATAGGTATATATTCATTAGTTTTACTAGCTGATATTTATGACTATCCTGGGATAACATTTTATTTTTCCCAAGAGATTTTACTTGCATGATAGTAATAAGTTTAATAGTAACAGAGAAGTGTGATGGAATGTGGAAGTAATTATCATTAGAAATACAAATATTAAACTGTAATTTTGATCATTGTAAATATTATTAAAGAAACAAAATACAAAAGTCACACAAGGCTATTTAACATAATATAATAGACTGGTTAAAGAACTACTGAATAGAGGGACCATGAAAATCTTCTAAGATTACTACCATAGCTCTGTAACAGGAAAAGGTATAGTGAGTTAAGGTTTCTTCACCTTGATGAACAAAATTATATAGCATTATAATACTAGACTGGTTAAAGAACTACTGAATAGAGGGACCATGAAAATCTTCTAAGATTACTACCATAGCTCTGTAACAGGAAAAGGTATAGTGAGTTAAGGTTTCTTCACCTTGATGAACAAAATTATATAGCATTAGAAAACTATAATGCCATCAACTAACTCCCATTTAAAATTTTTCATGTTGGTCACTGTGAAATATAATCTTGAGGGCATCTTAATGATTGTTTACTATCTGATTGATGACATGATTATATATATTTCCATGGAATTCAAGTTGTTTTTTCCCCAAGTTCATGTAAAATATGGTTCACCTGTTAAAATAATAAAATGTTTATTAGTTGTTTTGTAACAGAACAGTACCTGCTTTAAAGAAAATATAGGAAAGAGAAAATTAAAATAACAGTTGTACATTGTATATGGAAAACAGAATAAAATCTTTCTAAGCATTTCTACTACGTACTGTTATCATAATTTGATTAACTGATGAGATAATATGAAGTTTTTCTATATGTTAAAAACTGTGATTTCTGAAGAAGTCTTTCTGTATGTGTGAAATGAAGTCTTGCTGTATGTGTGAAACTGAGTTTATTAGAAAATGTGATTTCCGAGACTCTGAGGAAATGTGAAAGCAACGTGTGAAAAAAATCGAATAAATTCAGTATAAATGTACATTACATACCTTGATATACAGAACAATAAGTTAGTATTTCTTTTATATTCCAGGCAACACTATCAGTGTTTATTCAGTCGCATTTGAGGCCGAACAGCATCTGATATATACGAGGGTTGCCAAAGCGAACAAAACAATGTCACAAATTTGAGCGCCATACTCCGACAAATTGATACAATATGATGATGAATGTTGCACAGTTTTGTGTACATGTGTGTTCACAGCTTATATCTGAAGTATTTTTCGTAAAAGTTGTTAAAACTTTGAGAATAAATCCATAAACTATCAACAAAACATGTATATTTTTAAGCACGAAAATCGTAAGCGCCAGCGCTAATTGTAGTCAGCAACATAACGTTGTCGTTACTGCGCATGCGATAAATCTCCAAGAATCTTGGAGATTTCATCGTATTTTACCAGGGTCTTCCTCAGCTCACGCGCCACCACGAGGAAGACCCTGGGGACGAGGTTGCAGCAGAACATTCCACACGCTCCAATTACAGATTTAGGCAGCAAATAAAAAAATATAGATGACTCGCTGACAATTTCTGGCTACATTCGATCGCCGCGTGTGACGGAAGCCGATATACAGTATAATACATCAATGGCATCAATCTGACTTAGCAACATTCGAGTAACCAAAAACGGAAAATTAAAAAAAAAAATTTATATCTCGAACTTCGTACTTTTCGCATCTGACTGTATTCAATACTTTAATAGAGTATAGCCTCCAGCAGAAAAACTCTTGGATTCTCAGGCACATTAATTATATATTGCAATAATTTACTCCAGATCCAGAACAATTTTACTCTTTTTTGGGAGTTGAAACGACCCCTGGAGTAAAATTAAGGAGTACAAATTACTCCATAATTTCTACTCCTAAACGCGAGTTTAGTTTACTCCTCCAGCGGAGTTAAATTGACTCCTGATGGAGTAAATTGTAGAATGCGCGCAGAAGTGGAGTAGTTTTAACTTTATTTTGGGAGTAGATTTTACCCCACAATTTTTACTCTCCCGAGTTGAGTAGTTTTAACTCCTATGGTGGAGTTAAAATAACTCCTTGAAATTAACAGTGTAGTTATGTACGCCTTAACTCAACAGGAAAACGTCAGGCACATTATTATACATAACCCATTTGCCAGTTGTGAAATTGAAAAATAAAATTATGAGATAACCCTAACTTATTCTATTATCTCGAGAGTCAGCAGCCATCGTATACTTGCAGCTGCATGGGCATTAGCTCAGGAATGTTTTAAAGTGTGTTGATACTCTATGTTTGTTTTATCGCACTTATCCACCCCCGAAACAATCTTCCGCTTTCTCTATACAGCATATATACCGGCTATCTAGTAAGAAATTCTAAAAAGTAGCATGTCGTTATTCCTAGCATATATCCATGGTGAAAATATCAAAAATCTGCTAAGCCATCTAATTACAGATGAAAAATTTGAGAATGGGCGTAATAATTGTAGAGGAAACATATATTGGTACAGTGTGATTTAGCGCAGCTATTTCAAGGGCGCTGCACTTGAATTACAAAACTGTAGAGAAAACATATATTGATACTGTGTGATTTAGCGCAGCTATTTCAAGTGCGCTGCACTTTAAATACAAAACTATAGAGTAAACATATATTGTTAGCCTACAGTGTGTTTTAGCGCAGTTATTTCAAGTGCGCTGCACTTGAAATACAAAACAGTAGAGAAAACATTATATTGGTACACTGTGATTTAGTGCAGGTTCACTAAGAGTGCAGATTATCCCACAGCTTACAGAAATAAATTCCTTGTTTTGCATAGCGAATAGTGATATATAAATTTTGGTTTGTCAATTGGAAAAATCAACTCCATTACATACTATGTAAATAGAGGATGGCTAAATGGCGTGGGTGGGTGGGTCGTGCGTCGTGGGTCGTGCGTCGTGGGTCGTGCGTCGTGGGTCGTGCGTCGTGGGTCGTGCGTCGTGGGTCGTGCGTCGTGGGTACGGTGTTGAGCGTCGTATAGACAATGGAAATATTTTTTAAGACAGATAGACGGCAGACGGCCGGACGGATGGATGAGAGGGTAAAAAACGGGCGGACAGGAGGGTAAAATGCGGACGGATGAGAGGGTAAAATGCGAACGGACGGTGAGAGGGTAAAATGCGGATATGAAGGCATATAGAGTGGTATTTGTATTTTTCATGCAGAATTAAAATCCCAACCTTTGCAACTTTCATGCTTATTTTTCTTTGTTATCTGCATGGGTATGTAGTAATTTAATTTTATGCCACTATAAGGTGCTGTTTTTCAAGGGCTTTTTAATGCAGTTATCATCCTAAAAGTAACGTTAATTCCCGTTGAGATATGACAATTTCAGTACGGCCTACTTTTACACAAACGCGAATTACAATGGCAACATTCATGCTTAATTTTCTCGGTTATCTGTGCATGTAGTAATCAAATTTTATGCTACTATAATGTGCTGTTTTTCTAGGGCTTTTCAATGCAGTTATCGGTTTAAATATACCTAAAATGCCCGTTAAGATATGACAATTTCAGTACGGCCTACTTTTACGCAAACGCGAATTACAATGGCAACATTCATGCTTAATTTTCTCTGTTATCTGTGCATGTAGTAATCCAATTTTATGCTACTATAATGTGCTTTTTTCTAGGGCTTTTCAATGCAGTTATCGGTTTAAATATACCTAAAATGCCCGTTGAGATATGAGAATTTTAGTACGGCCTACTTTTACGCAAACGCGACTGCATGCAATTGCCACTTCCATGATTTCCTCTGGTAAGACTGTTATCCAGTCGTGTTGTAATCTAATTTTATGCCATGAGTGTAATGTGCTATTTTTGAAGCAAGGCATTTTTTAATACTGTGGACTGGTGAAAAAAAATGGCAATGGCTATTGCTCCAAAGCCAGGTCCCTAGGACTTGTATGAGTAAATGAGTTTAACATTGAAAAAAAGTTTAATAAACTAAATTTGTTGGTGCAGCATACTAGTAACTGAACTTATGTTGTGTTTGAACTGAACTTATGTTGTGTTTGAATGTTTAGCATGCAATTTATTACAAATTTCACCTGATTAAAACTTTTTTAAAAAATGTGTCCTCAGAATGCACGAAATGCTATTTCAGAGACCCAAATTTTAAAACCATCCCTAGCTAACTCGAGCCTACGGTACTCGGCTCACACCTTCGGCGATCGTATACTATCCTGCATGAGGGAGGACAAGGAGAGAATGGGCCCTTTAGCAATTTTGCCCCACCCTGACTGAAGAATCCTTAAACTGAAATGTACTGTTTTGAAGGACTTTTCAATGCAGTTATCCGTTTAAATACTTAAAATTTTGACGAGCTAGCATACCGCCCAGATAACAGACAAAAGTAAGCATGAAAGTTGCAATTGGAATTCACGTTTGCG